TGCTTCTGCTTGGCTTTGTTCATCTGGCATTCGTGACACGAACGCACATACTGGTAGATATCTTGCTTCATTCCAGGCCAGCAGAATCGGTGAGCCAGTTTACTATACGTCTTCCAAAATCCATCATGGCCACCTGATTCTGGACTATCATGGTATAGCATGAGAATGGAACTCACAGCCCTGGCTGGAACTTGAAACTTGCCATCGCTGAAAGTTAGATCTTCGGTTCCCTCCCACAGCCGATTGTAGAAGACCTCCGTATCATGCCTCATCTCGGAAATAGACAGACGAGACAATGCATCTGCATCTTTAAGGTGAACTCTTGGCCGATGAAATACTTCAAACTCGAATTGTTGGAGTTCGTTTATCCACCTAGCTGTTTTTCCTTTCGGTTCAGTCATGCATAGGAGGAACGTTAATGCTTGGTGATTCGTGAAGAGTTTGAACTTGCGGCCCTCGAGGTACGAGCGAAAGTATCGCACGGCCTTAAGAACAGCTAGGGCTTCTTTTTCTGTTGTTGTGCAATTTACTTCAGGCTTAGAAAAAGTATATGAGTGATACCCTATGACAGAGAGCTGTTGAGATGTTGGCTTTGTCGGATTACGTTGATACAGAACAGCACCTGTACCATAATGGGATGCATCCGTGTTCAGTTCAAAAGGCAGGTCAAAATCGGGTAAAATCAATACAGGATCAGAAGAAATCGCTTGCACTAGATGCTGGTACGATTCTTCACACTTGTTGGACCATTCGAATGGTACATCATGCTGCGTTAGTCGCGTAAGGCACCTTGTCTTCTTTGCAAAATCCTGGATGAAAGGCCTGAAATGTCCGGCAAGCCCAAGAAACACTCTAAGCGAATGGACATCAAAGGACTTTCGGAGGCTGGAGATCCGAGCAACGGATTTTTGCTTGGTAGTTTTAGACCTTCCGTCAAAGTTCCGCCCAAGAAATACAACCTTTCCTTGGAAGAATTCACAATTTTTTACATTGATCTTAAGATGTGCACCTTTCAAAGCTTCCAGCACGGATGCCAGATGTCGACCGTGACCTTCTTGACCCTTTGAATATACAATTATGTCGTCGATATAGACGTTACAGAACTTTCCTAGAAATGGGCTTAGTAGTTCGTTCATCATCTTTTGGAACCAGGCTGGTGAATTCTTCCAGCCAAAGGGTAGTCTGTTGTACTCGTATACAGCAAATGGTGTTACGAATGCAGTATATTTCTTGTACTCTTCCCTTAAAGGAACTTGTAAGAATCCTTTACACAGGTCAATCCTAGAAAATACTGTGCATCCTCCTGTCTCATCGGTGATGTTGTCAATTCTGGGCATTGGAAAAGGAAAAAGTTCGGTTTGACGGTTAATCATGCGATAATCGGTACATAGCCGTAGTGATCCATCATTTTTCGGCACGATGGTTATTGGTGATGCAAAAGAAGAGACAGATGGTCGAATGATTTCGGCATCCAGCATGCCTTCTAGTTCCCTCTTTAGCCAACGTTTCGTTTCTAAAGACATGTTGTATGGCTTCCGTCTGACAATGGTGGTATCCGCCAACTCGAATGGTACTTCGAAACAAGTGGTTGCGGGTGGGTATTTGCCCACAGGTATTATTTCTGGGTAGTTAATGAGTATATCATCAACCGATTCCACATATTCTACCTTTTTCTTTGCACTGGCAAGGTTTGTGTCAGATACTTGGACCGTATAATCCCAGTATATGTTGATGTGCATTCTGTTCATATTCGGCCGAGACAGTAGCAAGTCATAATTTAATCCATTAATTACTAGAGCTTCGGTCTGGACATGTTGGGATTCATATTGAATGGTCAGGTGAATCCATTTGGAGTGTATTTTCTTTCTTCCGTCGTAGCCTTGAACCTCGATTGTACGACCCTCAAAAGTTATTTCGCGATCGACAACCTCTTGGTTAACTATAGTCACAGACGCTCCGCTGTCGACGAGAGCTTTTAAAGTTCTTCCATTCACATTTACATTTATATACAAGAGTGTTGATTGGGACAAAAAGACAGTCTCCATTGTTGTCGAGGGGTGGGACTGTACACCCTCTTTTATCAGTTTTTGTGGTTGTCTGGACTTCAGCCATTTCACGGTCCTCAAATGTTGCTAGGTGAGTCGCTGACTGCTTCTGTGCCACAGCTTGTGGATTCCAATGCGAAGGCTTTTGTCCAAGACTTCCTATCTGTGCGACTGAAGGGTTGCTTTAGCAGGCTTCTGCGCTGCTCGGGGCCACGCATCTAAGCAGAGATGTTGAAAATAGTCCAGAAGGCCCTCCAAAGTTTTGGGCGCTTTCACTTGGACCTGTTTTTGCAGCTCTTTCGGAAGTCCGTGAATAACCAGCGGGACTACGGATGTGCCTGGTAGGGAGTAGTCTGCCATCTGGAGCAATCGTCGTTTTTTATAGAAATATTCCATGACACTTCCTGCTTTGTACTTGTATAATATAGCATTTACCCACTTCTCCACGGGATTCTCTTGAAATGCCGAATGAAAACTTCTTTTCCACTGTTCCCAGGGGTCGTTGAGATGGTCCGTTAAGTGGAGCTCATACCACTTTTTCGCCATTCCGGTGAGAAAAAGTCGCAGATTTTTTACTTTGTCATCGTCGGAACGCCAGCCATTCTTCTCACTAGCGTATTCATAAAATAACAACCAAGCTTCTGAGTTTGTTGTGTGACCATTAAACGGGTCCGGCTTTATCATTCGAAAGCGTGGAGCTTCCTGGTTTCGTGAAAGTCCGACGATGATGACGACGATGGTGAAAGTCCGACGACGAGCAGTTGTTGGTTTTGCATTATTTGTTGTTGTTGTGCAAGGAGGATCCGGTGGACAAGGTAATTTGGGTCCTCAGGGTTAGTGACAACAGCACGCTGAAGGCTTTCGAGACCGACAAAGTTGTTTTAGGGATAGGCCTGGTTATTGCCTTGGGGACAGGCCTGTGGGTCACCTTGAGTTCCCAATTGGAAATCGCTTTGAAAGTTGGATTGGAACTCGCCTTGGGTTCCGGTTTGAGAGCCGCCTTGAGGACCGGCATGGAAGCGGAAGCCGTCTTGAGGATTCAACGGGCCCTCCTCCATGAGCTCTATGATAAAGGTTTGAAAATCTGCTACCTTTAGGTTGACCTTGACAGTCCTTTTCTGTAGGATGGCACTGACGTCCAGTCCTGTCTTGTCAGAAACGAGTTGAATCAACTCCCGAGTAGTGATACGAGGTGGTAGTGGAGATGCCTCCTCGTCTTGAGGCTGGCAAGATGAGAAGGCAAGGTCTTCTCCGGTGTCATCTTTTATAGTGAGGGTGATCCACATGATGGGATCCTGTCGGCTGCGCCAAAATGTAACGTTCTACAAATACAATTCGAGATAGCTTACAAAATAGTGCTTTACTCGATCCGCCATTGCTATGATTCCCCCTTTTCTTCTTCTTCTATCACTGCTCTGCCTGGTTTCTTCTTCTTCTATGCCCGATCATCTAGCTGTCACAATAAATAATCCCTGGCGGTCATTGCTGAGCTCGTTTTTTTCTTAACGCGAGCTGACGGCGAGCCCCCACTTCGCCTTTTCAGTGTGCATTCAGCATCATCAAGAATGACGGTCTTGGCAACTTATAAGTGTGAGCTTGTTGTCGGCATGCCAAGTGAACGGCGCACTAAAATATTTTGTCCAGTGAATAAATCGTATACTGAGTTTATAGCTGCTTCACATGTGGTGGCAGCGAGCTTCCACAACAATCCCTTGATATTAATTTCTCACCATCGCAATTGCAGTATTGAGCAGACAATAAGTGACAGTTTGTTCTGCGTATGCACTATGAACAGTGTCATGATTGAGTGCGTTTTCGAAGTGCTTGCTCTACGAGCTCTCTCAGATATTGCCTGTCATGATAAAGAACTCTGAGGGAAATTCACAGTATGTGCTTGCTACGGAAACTGAGCCGCATCATGTGCAACACAACTTGAATCAGCATTTCCCACGACAGACTTCTGACAGAATCGAATGACTCAGTTGTCAAATCTTTGACTACTCTTTTTGCTGCACTAAAGCAACAAGCTCAAGATGCGAGCTCACAGACAAGTGTCCAATAACGTCAATCACATCTTTTTTTATTCTGGAGCATCAGCAGCAACTGTCTACCCAGTTCAATGTCTGGTAGCAAGCAGTACCGCGTAATATTGCTCGGATCTTCAAAAAGATGTATTTCTCACGCACCCGGGCGAGAAACATTGTTGTTTGCAATGTTAGTTATTTGAATTCTCTAGCGCGCGTTTATGAAACTGAAGGTAGTTTCTATAGCTCTATTCCTTGAGACCTTATTCAATTCAGAAGAAGATGAAATCGTGAGGAGAAAAACAAAGAGGTTATCCAAGATGGCCTGCCTCGGTTGGCTACTCTGAGTTGGGGTAAGGGGTGAGGAGCTGAAAGGAAAAGGAAAGAAAGAGAAGAGAAGACATGGCTATCTAGCTAACCACCACGTTAACAATAAGTGCAGTATCCTCAACTGAGAAGGCATCTAGGTACATCTTTCTTGGTTTCTACAGTGTGAGCCCCTCTGGCCTCGCTGCACTAGCTCTTTTTTTTTCATTTGATTGACATTTATACCTACTGTATTTGTTGTTTTCTGCCCAGCTTTAATTAAAGGTGAGATAACATTTTATTCCTACGGGTGCGATGTGCCACCCCAATGCTATCTGAGGGCGCCTGTGGCTGTTCCAGATTGTGTTCAACGTTGAATAAAAACGAGCACGAAGAACACGACATATATACAAAGGAAACAAACACCACGGTAACTCTCGATTATTTTAGTGTTTATTTTTGTTTTCGTTTTTCCGTTATTGTACTTTTCGCACTATGTAACATACCCATTCACCCAACTACAAAAGGTGTTTTTATAAGTTGAAATTTCTCGTTTTATCAAAATAAATATAAAACACAATTATTTTTTTTTGTGTGTGTGTGGGGGGGGGGGGGGATACTATAAATGCAGGTATGCAATCATTACCTACATTTTCTGCTCCAGGTGAACGTCACCGTCTTATATGAGTCGTACTGCAAGGACAGCTCGTCGTTCATCACGAAACAGCTGTGGCCCGTGTACAAGCAGCTCAAGAACCAGATGACCGTCGATCTGGTGCCCTACGGCAGGTCAAAAACGAAAGAGTCGAGTTCAGGCGGCCCTGCCACCTTCGTGTGTCGACACGGAGCAGCCGAATGTCTCGCCAACATTGTTCATTCCTGCGCCATCGCCCTTTACCCGAACACGGCGCTACACCTCAACTTCATAGCCTGCACCATGAAGACCTGGAAGCCAGAGCGAGCCGTGAAGAAGTGTACGCGCGGCGGTCCCATGGACAGCCAGAAAATCCAAGGTTGTGTGAGCTCTTCCCAGGGAAAGAACCTTTTCCAGAAAATGGGTGCCAGAACCGCGGCATTGAAGCCTCCCATCACGATCGTGCCGAGCGTCGTCATCGACGGGACATTCAATAAGAAGGACCAGAAGAAGATTCGGAAGGACCTCAAAGCAGCCGTCTGCCGTCATTTCAAGCCGCCCGTGCCAGAGGCGTGCGAGAAGAAGAAGAGAGGATTGTTTCGAAAAAGGTGAAGTTGGACCGCGAGAACGGGTGACGGAGTAACATTCCGCGACGCGACGAAATTGCCGTTCCTCCTGACACTGATTAAAATTCGAACTCGATACTCGTTGGAATCCACGGACGACGCTATTTCGCTAAAGCGGGGGAAAAAAAAAAGAAAAAGATATAGGCGCCTGTATTTTGCGTGCAAGTGGACGCAAAACAAAAATGTATAAGTTCCGACTTCCTTATTGACCGTCCAGTGATTAGTTACGTAAACGCTTTTAGTGCGTCATTTCAGGGCTGTTGTCATTTTCGCTAACATGTTGCGTCAACATGGTTGTTTCCTCTTGGTAGCGCTCTCCCACCCGGAGCTTATCTCATTCAAATCCTCCTATACTCATTGTCACATAGAAAAACTGCTGGGCGATTTCGTTACACGTGAAATATCTCGGTAGTGCTCCGGAACGTTGCCGATCCCAGCGCCTACTCTCACTGCGCTCTTCATCAGGTACTTCACAGGTGGTATGCATGTTTGATAACAGTTCCAGCATTGGAGATAGTGGCGCCAGTCGGGTTTTAAAGCCTGGGGTGCTACCCTGGTCACAAAAGCGAACTAGAAAACTCCTTCCCACGGGGTACCGAGCTCTCCCATTGGCCACAGCGCTTGATTCCACGCGGTTGCCATGAAAACGTTCGCGAAACACGAAAGCAACCGTTTGCCGTAAATGTAGTTTTTCGAGTTCGGATTGTGACGACAAAGTGACACATGACAACGCATGACCTATTTTGGGTCTCCCCCCTTTATGGTCCCTCCCCCATTGCCCCCGAACAAACTCCCAAAATTATTGCAGCTAAAATTTAAAGAAAAAAAAAAGTGACTGCTTGTAGACATGAATTCAATCTCCGAGCCCGGCCCAAACCGTTCATGAATGTTTCACTTCGGTATTTTACCTACTCTAATTACACGAATTAATGTAGCACCATCCCGCCAACAGCGCTAGAAATTTTCAATACAATTATAAACCAAGCACAGAATCGTTACTATGCCACTGAAATCACTCGAGAAGTATCAGAGTTCAATATGTCTCGAAATGAATTCTTTTCGATTGTAGTTTTGGCTTTCCTGTCGATTTTTATGGCAGAATTACGAGAATTGGAGAATTAGAAATGGTGCACAGAGAGGCCCTGAGATTTATTTTTAATAATTATGGCCCCTATGATTCGCCGACATCATTAATGAAACAAACAGACCTAACTGCTCTCTCCCACCACGCAAGAACTGACCGGCTGAAAGCTCTCTTTCAGATCATCACGGACAGCCTTCACATCAACACAGATAACATGTTTAGCTTCTTTACCAGAACTAACACTAGAGCTTGACACGCAAGATACATAAACATTTTCAAGGTCCGCATAAATTGCTTTAGAAATTCGTTTTTTCCACAAACTATATCCGATTGGAACAGCCTTCACCCCAGCATCCCTAAAACTTCCTGCACCGGCTGGCAGCCTTATAGCAAGCGACTTGCTCATTATGTCGAAATGTATTCATTTATATATATTTTTGTAACTTTCTCCTACGATGCCCTTATGTTTGGGAGTAGTATTGTGAAATAAATAAAATACTTTTGTCTGAACAACATCGATAAGACATAAGACAAAACAATAATCAATTTAAAAGAAAACAGATTAGTGCCAGATGTGTTCAGACGTCACACGAGCAAAGCTACGTTTCCAGTATAAATGAATGGAGAACAAGATGTCATTATTAATGACGCATGCAGGGCTCGATGCATAAAAACGCGATCTCGCAGCCAAGGGACAGTTGCGGGCCGAATCTCAGAGAGTCGCGGGCCATCGTGCTTGAGACCCTTGCCATACACCAACCCATCGTTCTGACTTTCTCTGACAGTTTCGTGCTCCTGACTCTGATAATACCTCCGTATTATCAGCGCACGAAACCGACACTAAAAGTCACCGTCCTTACACAACTATTTTGTTATTGGGGGGACAAAAACTTTCAGCCTTTCCACTCTGGTGAAGGAGGAAGAGGAGCGTAGCTGTGCTATGGTGGGAATGAAATATAATAGCCGGCCGCAAGTCGGCAAACCAGAGAGGAAAGACTGGAAAGGTTGCCGCCTTCGCTCATAGATGGTGGTAGCTGTCCAGAGTTTTGTGTCATCATTTGTTTGCTGGCGGACACGATCCTGGGGAAACTAGCCCTAAACAGCTCCGTTGTAAAATAGGTCCATGTGTGTGGAAACCCTGTCCGGCGTTTCCCGCTTGACTGACCCTCACCCGCGTCTGTACTTGACTGCGCGCCGCCTCACGTCACGTGACCAAGCTCCGGCAGCGGGGCTGACATCGTCCCCAATTGCCGCCTAAATGGAAGGGTCACGTGGTCAAGAGTTCGCTGCGAGCAAAGGGACCGACGCAGTTTACCGCCAACACTGCGTCGGCCACTTTGCTCGCAGCGCCCTCTCGTTACAGCTTCGCCTGTTACATGTAACGGCTTACTTGTAACGCGTTACACGTAACGCTTTACTTTTATTTGTAGCGTAGTAGCGTCCCGTTACTTGTTAAAAAAACTTTGAACTATAACCTACTTATGTTACTTCTTTTGAGTAATTGGTACCTATTACCTTACTCCTTACATCTTCTTAGCAAGAGTAGAAGGAAATAAATGAAACCTATATTTTTTTCGCAATTCTAGCCCCCAAGTTATATTAATTCTTGAACTCATCCTACATACCTTCAAAGTTTTGCGTCTCTTTTCCTACGCAAACACTCCCACTTTAGAAAAAAAAAAGGCCCACGCTTTTTGTTCAAGTGTCGAAAAACTCGGTCGCTAGAAAAAAGCTGTTACCGCCAATTTATAAATAAAAAGTAACGCAAAGCTGGCGAGCGTTACTCTTTATCGGTAACAGTAACGGGCTTCTTTTATTTTTGAGGTAACGTAAGTCGGTAACGCGTTCTTTTTATTTGCAAGTAAGGAAAAACGTATTTCGTTACTTCTTTCGGTAACGCCTACGACATTGCCTGCGGCACATAAAACGGCACTCGGGCGACCGAACCGAGCCCTCGCACGACCGTGAAGCGAGCGATTAAGGAGTTTTCGTAGACCACGTTTCCCCCTCAGCTAAGCCCTCCGCAACGAAGCAGCCGCTATTGCGCCGGTGCGCCGATGGTCTTGTCTGTAGAGTTCCGGCTAGCATAGCTGGTTGCGGAGAGCCTTGCGGGACAGCGGAAACGATCTACGAAAACTCCCCAATAAACTGTAGACTGAACGCGTGTGGAAAACCTTATAGTGTTTAAAAACATATATCTGCATTTGAATTCTCAAACAGCATGAATGGATCTATACGGCTGAACCCTTCAAATTGGGTGGCGGCTAGCGCCACCCAGCCAAAGCTTCTAAAAAGTTTTGGCTGGTTTAAGGCGACTAGTGCCATCTGGTGGAAGAGGATCCAAACAACCGTCACCGGTATCGATCTGAAGTGTATGCATGCTTCGCTCAGGGAACCGACAAGGAGTGCAATCGTTTTCGTTGTTGATGTGTTCTTTTTTTTTATTTTGGGGAGGGGGGGGGGGGAGGGAGGGAGAACGGCATCCCTGGCCCGTGATTTAAAGAAAGCCAATTGTCGAACGTGGGTTGTACAAACATATCTTATGGCCAACCACAAGCTACGAATACTCGCTACAACAACCTCGTTGTTGTAGTGAGCAATGTATACAAAATTAGATGTTCGTGTTTAGTCAGCGTAAAGACGGTCTGCTATTGAGGAATGCCGACACTGGTTTACACTTTAGATGATAAATGTAGCCAGTGCAAGAGTACTGCTATTCTGAAGTCTTTAAACTGCATTACGCAAGAGTGATACTTGCCCGAGCACCCGTACGAGTCTCATCAAGATCGAAACGAATAGGGGCGGGGATTGAACCCAGAATTCCCGAGTTCTGCAGAACGAGCTTTTCCTCCACGTGCTCTAAGTGGTGATGCGCTGACACACTTGGCCACAGATGCCCCCAGATACAAAACCCCTTATACTTTTTGCTCGACTGCAATCTAAGATGCAAGGTTCTCGGGGAGGTGGGGGGGGGGGGGGGGGGGGGGTAGTAAAACCTCGTTCAGTTTATTCATCTATGCGGCGCAGCTGGGGTTCAGGCAGACATTTACAAGTTACTAATAAAGTGATTCAATAGCGGTACTCTTCACTTGCTTAACGAATAACTAAATACATTACAGGTTACTGAATCGCCCAACAGCCGCTTCACTCTAACTCCCAATATAACGGTTTGCTCCCTTGTTACTGTGTTGTTGCTCTGAAAGAATGGCTTCCTTTCAAAGTTTTGCGTCGTTAATATTTCCTTTTTTTCTTAACGTGGTCAGGAAGGAGCTGTACTTACACACTGACCCAATGTTGGTCGGAAAGATCTCTTGGAGATTGGTGCGACCGATATTAAGTGTAGATATTATTCCTGCGCATAAAAATACAGAAATGGGGGGGGGGGGTGGAATATGTACTAACATTGTCGTAATTTCTGAAGTCAAGCAGAGCTGCCAATTGGGGGCTAATGAAAAGATCTGACTGTGGTACAGACGCCACAGTGATAGAGACTCCAGGGCGAGCTTCACTACTCGCCGGCAACTATTTTATTATGTTTATTTGGGTTTTTAGTTCTGTTTTGTTTGAAAGGGGAAAGGGTTCTTCCTTGTGAAATTGTGTTGAACCCGGATTCTACATGCCGCGTTCCTGTGTTCCCGGGGCAGAGGTCGACGGAAAGGGCGTCATATATTAGAAATCGTGTAACACAAATAATATTACTAAGGGATATGGCAGGATTTATAACGATAAAAAAAAGACGGAGGTCGAACCCTTTGAATCTTGGTTTCAAGCACCTATTCAGGGCTGCAGGACCGTACCGTTCGTCGCAAGGCAAGTTAGAGACGGTCAATGGGAAGTGAGAAAATTTGTCCTGGAGTGATTTTCGTCCAGAAGGATTTTGCCCTTGTAAAAGTTTAACAAAG